GTTTAGCCAGAAACAAAAGTTTCTTAACTTCCTCAGATTTATTATTAGAGCATGTTTTTGCCCCTTATCTAGTACTAATTGCTTTGTCTTATGTAATAACATGCCTTTTACCTGCTACAAATCCAAGAAAATGTTGTACTGCCTAAGTATGAGAATTTCTGCCATATATATATGCCACATAAATATATATTTTTCATAGAGCTACCAGTGACTTCTCAGAATTTCCAGAAGAATTTGCTCTACACCAAGGTAATATTAATGGTAATATTAGTGGCAAGCTTTCTAGTTAGGTCAACAATGACAGGTGCTCTGGATGGTTCCAGTTTCTATCTGTTGTAGAATTATTAAAGTCTCAATTATTTTAGGACTCTTCTTTCACTCTCAAAAGTAGTTTAGATGATAAGTTATATAAACTATTAACTCCATCACCTAAACTTTTACATTGCAAGATCACTTTAAGTGGATAGGACTTTTCATATTTTAAAGTTTGTGCAGTGTTCCGCAAATGAATTAAATCAGAGCCTTTGAGTTATTATAGGAAGTCGCACTAGACATCACAACAAGTCTTCATTTTTGGCATGCTTCCTGAACAGAACACAAACTAAAATAAGCCCATTTACCCAGATGTTACCAGCACAAATCGTGCTGACATGATACAGCTGCTTTTCTGTGGGGCTAGAATAAGCTATCACAAAATAAGAATTAAAACTTAAAGTACTCAGTAAAAAATGTTCAACTTTTAAAGTCTCGGGCTGTTTACTAAATTTAAGTGAAAACCAACTTAAATTTCCAAACTAGCAAATACAATTCAGAATTTTTTAAAATTGTAGATTAAATTGCTTCCTGTCTTTTCATCTCTGTCAGCTCCCAATAAGAAAAAAAAAATTACAACGTTAGAGTAATGTGTAGTTATAACTATATTTTTAGCCCAGCAATTTTAGCTCAATTTTCAGCAGTAACATCTCATTAGAATCAAACACTTCCTAGATGGTTTAAAAACATAGTGAAAATCTGGCACTTTGGGTGCCTATATGAACAATGCCTTAACTTCTTATTTTCAAAGAAAAAATGCGATTTAACATAAAAAAAAAAAAGCAAAGCCCCCGAAGGTTCTTTTTTTTTTGTAAAAGAAAAAAGAAGAAAGAAAGAAACTCAACCTGCAGTACACATTAAATAATTCAAATCAATGATCCTTCTAAGCCCTTAGCAATGCATAAACCAATGGGGGAAAGCAATCTAATACTTCATGCATTTAGGGAACTGCATTAGAAAGACTTTTAGCCTGCTTCTGCTTTTTACATGCAAATGTATGCAGAGCAGACAGATTGGGATCTGTACAATTTAGCAATGATCGAAACTTGTAATTTTTGAAAATGGGACAGATGTCCAGACTAGTTATATTAAGATGCTTCTTACTGAAGAAAAAACCAAACAGTCTAATTCTACTTCCTCCTTTAAATGGAAACAAATAAACAAAGCCACCACAAATTAGAATAAGTTATATATCATTTTGTTTCTTTCATAGATTCTTAAAATTGAAAGGCAGTTTAGGGTAGTGGAATAAATATTTCTGGCATGTACCACTGCATTATTCATCGTCGTCTCCTTAAAACACAGAATTGGAGGAATGTTTCGCCATTCAAGGGGCAGGGGTAGGCTAAAATCTAATGTGGAGAGCAGCTGCTCTGGTTCAGTGAAGTCTGCTGTCCTTGACCCACAGGAAACATGGAGAATTAAGTACACGATATATGTGTCCTAAACAAAGGCCATCTCATTCCATTCATTCACTCAAACTTGGCAAATGCCCAATAGCTCCTGGTATCTGTAATGTCCCAAACTTTATTTGATGATGTGGAATGTTGAGAACATGATAGGATGTGGGGAATTAAACTGTTATGGTTTATATCTAGTAGGTGGGGCTTTAGGGAGATAATTCGATCATGAGGGTGTGATGCTCAGGAGAGGATTAATCCACTGATGAGTTTTTAACTAAATATGATTTAGGAGGTGAAGTCCCGTTGCAGGAGGTGGGTCACTGGAGGTCTAGAACAGTATATCTCCCTTCCTCCTCCTTGACCCCTCCGCTTCCTGATTGCCTTGCTATGGACTGTTTCTTTCTGCCATGCTGCCCTGCTTGTAGCCAGCCTATTACAAACTGAAACCTCTACAAAGTTTTTGAACCAAAATAAACCTTACCGCCTTTAAGCTGTGGATGTTGGGTATTATGTCTTAGTCATAAGAAAGTAACCAAGACACAGATGTAGCATTTGCTTTCAAACAGCCCAGTCTGGTGGGAAAGACAAACAAGAAATTGTATGATTAAAATGAGGTAGATTCTAAGCACAGTAAAAAGTGTGTTATGAAGTTCCACGGTAGCTGAGAATGGATCACTTCTAACTAGGTCATCAAAAAACACTTCATTACTATAAACTTTGAGTCTTGAAAAACCCCAGAATGGATGCTTTGGTTTGGATATGGTTTGAGAGCGCTGTGCACAAGTCTATGGGCTGGAAGCTTAGTCATCTGTTCAGTGGTACTGAGGTGGTAAAATCACTAACAAGTGGGGCCTACTGAAAGGTGATTAGGTCAATGGAGGCATCACATCGAGAGACTTAGTTCTCAAGGGACCCCAATAAGTTCCCACGAGAGTGGGTTGTAGAAAGAGTGAGCCTCACCCCTGAATCTCTCCTGCCTCCTCTTCTGCCATTTAATCTCCGCCTCTCACACGTGCTTCCACCACGATGTTATCTACCGTGTTGTAATGTAGTCAGAGCTGACTAGATGCCTGTTCCATAAAAATGGGACCTCTAAACTATGAGCTCCTTTCTTTATATATTACACACCATCAGGTATTTTGTTATAGCAACATGAAATGGACTAAGGCAGTAGATAAGGGAGAGAAGCCACACTGGATCAAGGTTAAATAGGCATAAAGGCACAGAGAGAAGCAGCCAGGAGAGTGAGAGGTGCAGGGTTGCACGCGTCCAGTCAGATCTTCACTGAAGAATGAATGTCCATGTGCCAGGCATGGCGTGAAACAAAGGGTGTAATCAAGAACAAGATACGTGTCCACTTTATTCTGCAGGTAGCAGGAGCTTCAGAAGGGGAATGCAAATTCAGTTCTGTTTCAGATCAATCACTCTGGAGGTGAGGCAGATGATGACAATGATGGAGGGAAGAACCCAGATGCTAGGAAGCTTAATGGTACCTCTGGCAAAAGTCCAGATAAGAGACGATGCCAGTTTGGCCCAAGACAATGAGCAGGGCTGGAGGAACCATGTCTGTGATGGGAAAGATTCAACCAAGTTTTTTCCACCATTCTGACTCTTCTTTCCTTTCAGCCTGCTCCAGTGGTTAGAGTTCACCCCTACAGTGACATACACTCCTCACTCCTACTGCCCTTTGCTGGCCTACTTGTGCACTGTGGAAACTTTCAGACATGACAGCTCCTCAGATATCAGGTTGCGTTCAGGCTTGATCACCATCAGCAAAATTCAGATAAAATATTTAGTCCTCTAACCAATAAAACGTCAAACTTAAGGCATATCTTCTGAAAGGTCTTTAAATTTTCTGTCCTAAACATTCAAGGTAAGAAGGTATGGTGTGAGGTCTTCTTAGAGAAGCTAAAGTTGAGAAATTCACTTTTTAAATTTACCCCCTCTCCACTGTAGTGCTAGAGATCAAACCCCAGGCCTCCTGAATGCTAGGCAAATGCTCTACCACTAAGCCATACCCCTAGATGAATTCCTTTAAAAAAAAAAAAAAAGGAAAAGAAAAAACTTTCACTTGAAGTTGAGTATAGTTACCGTATGTCTGTAATCCAGGCAATGTGTTAGCTCCACTACGGAAGGAAGAATGCAAGTTGGCAAAACATAAGGAGAGCCTGTCTCAAAACAAAAGAGACAGCAAGACGGGGAGAAATGCATATTGCCCCTTCTTGCTTCCCAAAGTCAGTAAATAATGAGAAAATGTTTCTCCTTTCAAAAGAATAGTTTTGTCATTCCAAAGACAGCTTAGACCATCACTCAATCATCATTATTTTTCATGAATCAAGCACTTGAGACCAGGAGAGATCTGTGGTAATGGTTCGACAACCTGCCCTTGCTTTTTCACCTTGGAAGTTCCACCTCCTGGAGTTATCATGAGAAACTTATTATTCTAAGAATTTTCTTGAATTTCTATCCATAGCATTAGAAAGACCCCTTCAACCCAGCCCAATCAACATCTCTAGAGCAAGATAGTTAACTGTTAGTTTCTCTTCTATCATCAAGACAAAATATCCAACACCCAAAGTTAGAGAGGAAAGGTTTATTTGGCTTACAGTTCATAGAGATCCCAATCCATAATCAGTCGATTCCAAGGCAGGGTGGCAAACGACAGCAAAAGCAACAAGGGACCTTAAAAGCATCTTTCTGCCCCTTTTATCCAATCCAGACTATGGGGATTAGGTTGGTGCCAAATCAGTCACATGTAATGATTTAGTAATCACACGCCCTTAACCCCAGCCCCACACACACTCCAGATTCAGCCACCACCGAAAGTCTGCATGAGGCTCTCGGGAGCATCTAGACACCAGCCACACATAAAACCTTCCTGGATTCTGATCAGCCAAAAGTCTGCCTACGTGGCAGCAAGACTTTTCTAGTCATAGAACTTAGGGGTTAACACACCCCTGAGTTTTATTCAGGAAAAATATTTTTAATAATAAATTTCATATTATTTTTATTCATACTTGTTTGTACTACATAATGTTTACATTCCTTGTGTGGAGTCGGTAGGTGTACATAACACATCCTAATTAAAAATTTTAATTTTTTATGATGAAAAATTTCAAACATACAAGAAGAAGAAAAAAATACACATTACCTTCCTTCAGATTCAACCTGGTCAAGATTTTGCCACACTTGCTTTCTGTATCCTCTTCCTTCTCTTTTTCCCATTGTCTTCCCTGCTTCTTTTCCTTTTCTTTCTTTACCTCCCTTTCTTTTCTTTCATCTTCTCTCCTTTCTTTGCTATAGTATTTTAAAGAAAATCTTCTATCATATTGTTCTATGTCAATATTTGAGTAATATAAAAAAAGACGTTTTCTTACATAACCATGATGCCATCATCACACCTGACCAAATGAATAATTCTTCTCTAACATCATCTACACCTAATTTTCAAGAAAGTTTTAAAAATCATAAGGCTTGATTGAAATGTCTATTGCTTCTCTAGGGAAAGCCTCAGACAGACATAATAGATACATTATCAGGAAAATGTGCTCTATGCTCACTTCAAGTTTTCATTCTATTACTGCCTATTGTGCCCCCGTGTATCATGTTAAAAAACTAATATCCATCTCTAATGTTTACACATTTCATCTATTTTTATATATTTAGTTGATCTGTCTTGTCATTGCTTACCTGAACTATACACATTCAATTCTTTTACTCTTTCCTTATAAATCAATCCCGTCAGCCCCTTATTTTGTAGCTTTTCTCTGAACCTCACCTAGATGGCTTCTAAAGCCTAGTCCTGCGCTGTCCAGAACCACATCAGTGTTCCCACTGTAGTCTCACACAAATTAAATCACTGCCCATTCCTCTGATTGCTTAGCTCAGACCAGAAGAGCCTTATTTTCTGTCATATTATAAAGGAAACAAATGTCTTGATTTCTGCTTTATACCCCATTATTTTTCACATTGAAGCTTGTGTTTTATCCCTCCCAATAGTCAGGCACAGTAAGAAAATAATAATACAATAAAACAATTTTAATAATATGCTGTAATAAGTTATTTAAAACATAAACTATTGCTGAATTTTTCCATTTAATATTTTTAGACCAAGGTTGATTGCAGGTAACTGAAACTGTGAAATGTGAAACCACAAATAAAGGGGGAATTGCTGTACTAACTTTAATGCTGTATGTATCAGGGGTAATTTATGCACTGTAGTACACTTAACATGAACATTGACATTCTCTCAAGACATTTTCTACTTGCATCAGTAGCCTATTTCACCATTTAATAATCTTTGCTGTTGGGAAATTGTTTCAGCTCAGCTCTTACCAAAACAATATCTTATAAAACATCTTTGAAATGTATAATTTGAATCCATAAACCATGAGAATTTCAGATTTATCTTTCTCTTCTTGCATATAAATCAGTATGTGGCATTTGCTTTAATTTACTATTTACTCACTGTTTACTAGGTTCTAAGAGTCATGCTAAGTGCATCGCCTGAACAACTAATTTAGGCTTCATAATTTTGAAAACTGAGCATTATTAATGACCCCAGCTTACAAGTGAGGAAACTGGGGCTTAGGAAAGTTAACTGACTTTCTTAATGTTAATAGCCAGTGATAAGCAAGAGTTCAGAAAATCTAAAACATCATAACCCCTGTTCACAACCACTGGCATGATTTAGTATTTCCAGTAATAATTGGGAAGCTCTAGCTATACGCTAACTTCAACAAACCCCTACATGGCACACAGTTGGGAGAGAAGTGAAAAGCCAGTCTTTTCCAAAGGGGCCATAGATCTCTTAAAAGAGGAGCGTGCATGGTAGCAATCATTATCACAGGCAACTGAACCAGCTACCCAATGCCTGAGAAAATACTACTCATATCAAAACCAGATTCAATCCTTTTAAGAAAAATGATTATTACCAATCATATGGCCCTCCAATTTCAAAACCCTCAATTATCTAGTAAATGAATGAGTACCATCCATTAAACATCTGTTATGTGGTGATACTCTAGCTTGGGCTCTATGATCTCAATCCTGCATCAGTCTATCACACTCCTTCCTCAAGGAGCTCTCTGCTTTTTTTTTTTTTTTTTTTTTTTTTTTTTGAGACAGGGTCTCACTATGTAGCGCAAGCTGGCCTTGAACCCACTGCTCTCCTCCTGCCTCAGCCTCTGATGTGCTGGGATTACAGCTGTGCCCCAGTGTCCAGCCCTGTTTCTACCTATTCATCTTTTGCCACCCATCCCTGCCACCGTGGTCTCCTTAAAATAAAGCTTCCATATGAGCCAATCCCTCTTCTGAAGCCTAACTCAATCCTAACTTTCAGGGCTCCAAATAATGAAAATCCTTCGCTCCATCCGGACTAGACTCATTCCTACCGACTACGTCTTGTCCACCACCACTTTTGTTGGAACAATTCTCCCTTCTCCAGCTGCTCTCCTAAGGCTTCAGGTATTTTGTTCAACACTGGTTTAAGCCCTTTCTCCTCTATGCTCTTATTCTGACCTCTAAACATCTTGTATTTTCCCTCCTGCTCTCAGTAAGAGGTCAACTGATGTTTGCAGAAATTATTGCTCCATTAAGCATCAACAGATATTTTGGGAATTCCACCCCGACTGGTGTGTTATTATCTTATGTACATTTCTTGAGCTCCCACCTGAAATTCAGTGAAAGCTTCTTAAAGTCCTGCACCACATCTCTCGGATGCCATAGTTTCTGACAGGGAAGGCACTTGTGACAATTTGACAATTGACAAATTTCAGTTACATAAAATAAGATGATCTAGTAATCACCTTTTGATCATATGGCTGATTCTGTGTGCCAAAAGTATATGAGTGGCTACCTAAGACATCTGGCCTCTAAATCCTGTCTTTACCAATGAAATAATGTAGAGTTGGGAGGAGCTACTTTTCTAGCTTCAATTTTCTGTCCTAAAATGGAAGAAATGAAAAGTCAAATAATCTCAAAGCACTTGAGTACACGAATGCTACTTTATTAGATGCTTTGTCAGTTAATTGCTTGACAGGTTATTTTCTAAGGATAAAAAGTTAGCTAGAACTTAAGTGTTGCAAGTCAGTTGATCTGTCTTAACCATTTTTAGGATATGGAGAATTCCATATGTAGCAAAAACAGTAGGCGAAATAACCTATAAATGCTGAGGGGAAAAGGGGGGCATAATTTAAGCTTCCTCTTAGGCATAGAAAGCTGAGAAAGAAAAAATGAAGTCACTTGAGCCCAGCTGGGAGTTAAGACTGCAAGGTAACTGGACTCAAAAGGATGACAAGCTTCTCCAAGCAGAGATGGAGGAAATGAACTGTTACTTTGGGCAGAGTATGGAAGTAGCAGATTTAGATGGAAGACAGATAATTTAGATGGAAGATAGACATCACCTTATTTCTGATCTTGAGGGGAATCTATTTTTTAAAAAAGATACTGTTAGGTATAGGTTTTTTTAAAGCCCTTTATTGGGCTGAGAAAACTGAAAATTGTTAACTACAGAATATTTTGTACATGTTCTTTATCTGATTGAGGAGTTACTCAATTCCTAATATACTCCTTTTTATCAAGAATGGATTGCTGTCAATTGCTTTTTCTACATCTATTGAGATGATCATGTAGTTTTTTTATAGCCTATGGATATGGTGAATTATATCAATTATTGAATTTCCTTTGTTGTTGTTGTTTTTGTCTTTGTTTTTGGTACCAGGGATTGAACTCAGGACCATGTGCTTGTGAGGCAGACATGGGCACCACTGAGCTAAATCCCCAGCCCAACTACTGAATTTTGAACTGACCTTACATTCCCAAGTTACATGTTATTGGTCATCATGTATTATCCCTTTCATTATTGCTTGGTTTGGTTTTGTAATATTTTTGAGGAGTGTTACCCGTGAGACACTGGTGGTGCTTTCATGCAATAACCTTAGTCTTGCTTTTGTGTAAGGGTTATACTGTGGTGTGCACAGGATTTCCCATCCTGTTAATGTCTGGAAGAGCCAATGATGTCTCCTCTTTGATTCCTGATTAGTCATCTGTATCGTGTTTATTTCACCAATCTTTTCAAGGGATCAGTTTTTGCTTTCACTGATTTTTTACTATTTTTCGGATTTATTATTTCCTTTACTAGCTGCAGGTTCAATTTGCTCCTTTTCGAAGTTTATAAGTAGAAGCTAGGTCACTTTTTTTTAAACAAACATAAGCATTTACTGCTATCAATTTTTCTTTGAACAGTGCTTCAGCTGCATCTCATAAATTCCAAGTTACACTTCATTTAAAATACTTTAAAATAGTTTCCATTGTGTTATCTCCCTTCCTCTGTTATTTAGAAGTTTGTCATTAATTTTCAAGTATTTGAGGATTGTCTAAATATAGTTCTTTAATGGGTTTCTTAATTTCATTGTGGTAACAGGCAAGGTCATGACAAAATATGATTTAAATTTATTAAGACTTACCTTATAAAATAGAGGTGGTCTTGGGACTATATCCCATATACATTTGTAAGCCCAATACACTTAAGACTTGGAAAGGTGAAACAATCCCCAAACCTCTGGGAAGACATTCTTAACCCCAAGCACACAAGATCTCCATAAAGTCTCACTGAATTAACTCGTGATCCAGGTTTATAACACAAGGGGCATGCTTCACTTTGTCAGAGAATTAAGAGATTCAACAAACAATATTAGAGGCCACTCCCCCAAATTTACAGATTACTGAATTAACTAAAACAATTAGACTAACCAGTTTAAGATTAAATAGCCAATCAGACAAATAAATAAATAAAAGAAACTAAAACTTTAAGAAATCAGAGAAGAGCTTATTATAACCACACTGACAGACTAAATAACCACCTAAATTGCTGAGATGAAAATGTAAGTTACTTAGTGCTACGGAGAACATGGATCTAGAATTCTGATATATTGCTGGCATAGTAATTTTGAAAACTTGTCTCCAGTATCTACTAACGCTTAACATATGTATACTCTATGACCTAGATGCCACTATTAGAAACATCCAACAGAAATGCATGCACATATTTTTACTAGGAGGCAAGTACTACATTTGCTCATAGAATTAAAATTGAAAGCTAGTCAAATGCTGTACTCATTTAGTAAAATGAATAAATATGTGGCTGTTCACTATGATACATTAACTTGACCGGAGTAAAAGACACATAGATTAGTAAAGCATAGTTCCGAGTACGTCTGCAGATGGCCAGCATAGCAGGTAGGTCGGCAAACTGAAGGGAAGGACTGGTTGTGGGTGGCATCAGCCAACAGGCTTGTTATAGCCCAGATAGAATATAAAAGGGTAAGATTTGTGCCTATTTTTGAAGAGCTCCAGCCTCCTTGAATATGTGCGCCCTAAGTAATACACAGAGGTAGTACTAAACACAATGGCATATAAAACAAATAATGAAAAGCTTATGACCAAGGCAACTGTTATCAACTGAATTTTTGTGACAACCTAAAATTTATATGTTGAAGCCACAGCTCCCAATGTGTTGAATTAGGGGGTTGGAAAAAATTAAGCTTAGATGAAGTCCTGAGGCTGGAGTTCCCATGATGGGATTAGTGTCCCTGTGAAGAAGTTGAGCAGACAGCAAAACTTCCCTTTCCATGAAGACACAATGTGAAGGTAATCATCTGCAAGCCTTCACCAAAGAAACTGACCATGTTGGGACTCTGGACTTTGCAGTGTGGAGAATTCTGAGAAATGAATGTCTGATGTTTAAGCCATCCAGTCTTTGGTATTATTACAGAAGCCTGAGCTGTAAGATACCAACAAAATGCAAGAACCTCCTAACTTTGAGCCAAAGCCAGACATAAAAGTGTATGTGTGCATGTGTGTGTGTGTGTGTGCGTGTGTAGCTTCTATAAAGAACAAAAGCAGGCAAAACTAATAGTCTATGTTAACCTTGTCAACGTGGTGGGGGGGTGGCTAGAGACTGGAAAAGTTCGAAATTTTCAAGGGGGCTAGTAATATCTTATTTCTTGATTTAGCTGCTGGTTATACACATTTGGTTTCTGAAAATTCACCATGCTGTACATTTATGATATGAGCAATTTACTGTGTGTATATTTTTTCCCCCAGTACTGGAGACTGAACTCAGGACCTCGTGCTTCCAAGGCAGGCACAGTACTACTGAGCTAAATCCCTAGCCCTTTGGTGTGTTTGTTAATCATCAATACACATTTTTTAAATGTGAAAAAAATTTAAAATGTGTTTACTAAAACCCTAATGAAAAGATAATATAACACACACAGAAGCCGAAATAAAAACAAGACACAATAGTCACTGACGTAAACATATTATTGCTAAACAGTGAATGAAATTAGCAGATGGAATTCTTTATTTGGAAAAAAGATTTGAGGAAACTCCCCAGGATGCAGCATTAAAGGATAAAAAGAGAAAATATGAAAGAGTAATTAGACACATAGGATAAAATGTGAAGATAAGACAGAAATAAGACTACTAGCTCAAAAAGATGTGCTATGCAAATAAACAAAGGATGAGAATTTTCCAGAACTGATGAAAATAAGAATTTGGATTCATGAGGAATGAGTTCTTGGGTAGAATAAATACAAATAAATACTATTTGGAATACTATCAGACTGCTGGAAAGCTTTGTTGAGGCAAACTAGTCTGTCTCCTTTGTTTTAAAGATGAAAAAACTGAGGCCCCAAAAGATTAAGTGATTTATCCAGGATCAAAGAGCTGATTAATGATAGGAATAAAAACTACCTTAATGTGCTATATTTTAATAATGGATGAAAAGAGCAAAAGAATCTGGTATCACTATTACAAAAATAATCTGAAGGCATCCTGTTCATGGAATTTAATTTGAAAGTTGGCAAATGAAAGCACTGCTGATTCAAGTGCCATGAATAGGTGCTTAACAAGTGGTATTTAATGAATAATGGGGGCAAACTAGGGCTGCCCACACATACCTTAGAAAAGGAAAGAATTTTGGGCCGGGGATTTAGCTCAGCAGTTCGGTGGCCTGCCTTGCAAGCACAAGGACCCGAGTTTAATCCCCGGTATCAAAAAAAAAAAAGAAAAAGAAAAAGAAATGATTTCAAGATAATCTTTCCGTTTAAAGTTTAAGTACAAGACCACTGTAATCACTTCAGTACCTAAACTTCCTACCTATTATTCTCCTCTATTTAATAAATATTTCCATATTTTAAAATGCTTTTGAATCACATTTCTTCCTATTATTTACATCATGATATAAGATAAATTAATTTCTTCCTTTGAAACAGAACAATTCACATCTAACTGAACCTCTAACTGCCTATTCTAAGTGTGAAACAGATTTCAAACTGGTCAAAGGGGCACAAAATGTACTGAAGATCTGATATAAAAGTCTTTTATGAATAATTTCTGGTCATGAGTCAGAAGCTTGTATTAAGGAAAAGATCTAGTCAGTATAAGGAAATGTAGTTAGCCCTTGTTCATAGTTCATAATTTTGAATTTATGGAGAGCAAATTTCTATAATTTTAATGCTCTTGGATTGTAAGACTAATTTTATAGCCACTTTTGACAACTTTTAGGTTAAGACAGTATTTCTCAAAAATATAAGACTTAAAAGCATCAAAATGATTTGATTTGGTATATTGTAGGTTGAAACATTTTCAATAATTTCTAATTTATCTTTTGCTTATAAGTAAAACAACCCTATTATGTCATGAAAGTTTAAAAACGAAAGCGTAAACTATATAAGGCACAGATAGTTCCTTAACGAATTGATTAAAAAGGGAAAAAATGCTTACACTTAAATACCCAAATTTTATGAGAAAACTAATTTGTTCTATGGATGACTCGAACCTTTCAGAGCATCTTGGTGAGTTTCAGCTCTTACAAGAGTTAAGAGTATTTTAAAGTTTCAGTAAGTTTGAACTACTCATACGAATACATCTGACAATGATAAAAAAGAATTAAAACATAAGCAACTATAAAAAGCAAAAATAAAAAAACTAAAATTGGTTTAAAAGCTATGAAAAACACTTCTATCAAGCACTCACTGCATAAATAGCTCATACAGATTATAAAAAATCATTATGGCATTTATTTGTATAAATGAAAATAAGTATATAGACAAATCACACAAAAATGAATTTAAACTTTGATTTTGGCCTTATACTTAATTAGCAATAGCATATAAAATCCCTACACAATGGCACCACTGTAAAATGTTACAACTCTTTGGGAAAGCAATAATGCAAATATAAACCATAAAATTGTTCATATAATTTCACTTTATCCCCTTCAAGAATTTATCCAATCAAACGGAAAGCCATTTAAGTATTCAGTAGTAGAATAATGGCTTAAATGAATATGAAGCAGTATGCAAACAATCATTACCAAAACTAAATATAATCAAGATAATATCAAATATAAAAAAGTAGATGCCTTAAGACTGTAATTCTTTGAACAAAAAGGAAAAACTAGTAATATCAAATTAAAATTCTACAGTTAGTGCATTAACATGGTAAATTTTTAGTTACTTGCCTTTTCAAGTAATCTCTACTCTTCCCAATTACAAATTAGACATATCAAGTTGACAAAAGGGCAGAAGTTCCTCAGTTGTGATTGAAAACCTAAGTACTTCTCTATTTGGACTTTAATTGGTAATAAAAGAAGATATACCTCAATCTGCACCATTCCAATAGGCAGAAATAGTCGCTGTTACATTGGCTGGCATAAAATGCAGGCACTAAATATATAACAGTATAAACTTTCAACTTACAAATTTATGTGTTTGGTATGTTATGTTAACATATCACGATATCAACTCTTCTCATTGTGCATTTCATACTGAGAATTAGTTTTAATACTTTCATTTATAATATGCTGTCACTATGCTGAAAATGCTCTACTAAAACATCCAACTTTTTATATTAAATTCATATTAATTATGCATAAATAAAGCCACTTTGGCTTATAAATTTTAAACTTTTTGAGATAGATTATAAGCAATCACATTTTTAAAAGGCAATTCATAGAAATCTAAAAACTTTTATTTCGTGAAATTTGAAATGAGACTTCCTTCTGAAATTACACTCGAGTAAAAGAAGAGGGACTTGAGTGTTTCTATAGGCTAGCTGCTTAATATATTACATTTCCTAACTAAAATATGGAACACTCGTTACATGAAATTTGCTATTTTGTAATGTGACTACATTTTCAAAATTATGGTAAAGAGGGACACAGAACTTTCTGAAGCTATCTGAATGAAAACACTTGAGTATCACTGTCCTTAAATAGTTAGAGCAGAAGAGATTAACTGGAAATGTGGTCAGCCTTCTCCAAGTCTAGAGAGCAAACAACAAAGAAACAATGTCATACAGGCAAATGCCCTATAAAGAAATACAAATGCTAAAGAATGAAGAAAAGAAAAATTTAAGATATATTCCTTCGTTTAAAATTTAAACATGCTATTTAGTAATTTGGTACAAGGTAGTTTACTCTGTTAATATTATCACCAAGAAAATACCTCGTAGCAGCCAACATGTAACACTAAGGAGCTGTCTTCTGTTGTCATGGTAGAAATGACATTAATTAATTAATTATTTTTTGTCTTTCTACTTATATCCCACTAGTGGAAACAGGATAATTTGGTTCATTTAAAAATACTGATTATAAAACTTTATTTCCAAGATCTAAATGCAGCCTTAAGTACAGTCTTATCAACAAAATGTTTTAGTATTAATAAATTCTCTAAATCACAAAAAAGAATTCATTAATGGCTATTTCATAGTCAAAGAATTTCAAAACAATGGAGCTACTAAGAAGCCTAAATAAAAGTAATACTAAATTATGATTATTTCTGTGAAACTGAAGAGAACGTGTAGCTGATATTTTTCTTTCATTAGAAAGCTTGTCCAACCTTTTCACAGGAAAAGACTGAAGCAAGATCAAATTCAGAAAGTTGATTTTCCTGAATCTAATCAAATTTATATTTTAACAACATAAAAGCATCTTAAAAGAACTATCTATAGCACAGCAAAAAGCAGAATGACTGTAAGGCCACTTGCACGCTGAATAGTAAATAAATTGTATGCTATTGAAACTGTAAGGGGTATTTTGTTTGCTTCATAAAAAAAAAAAGTATTTGTCTCTTGCACGCAGCTTGTCATTCTGTCTCTGTATACAGGATTCATTCAAATATCAACCAGGAAATGAGGATCCTCCAGACCAATCTCAAAATGTCTTAATCACATCACTTTCTCCCTTTGTCTCATTTAGGGTTATAGGTTCACAGCTCAAGTTCTGCTCACTCGACTCTTCGGGTTTTGATTTTTTAAGAGCCAGCTCATCTGGGAAAAGAGATGAGCAGTGCTCAAGAGACTGTGCGATGCCATCAATGGTCCACTTGTCTTCAGGAAGGGCATGTTCCTCCAGTGTGAATGGCCCCTGTTTCGTTCGGGTAAGTGCGAGCACACTGGCACAGGAAGACAGCTCTACAGCAAGGAAAGGTGAAAATCCCAGAAGATACACGATTCAGTATTTCAGTCATCATTTCAGAAATGACACAATTCCACTCGATCCTCTCAAAACCACACCACATTGCATTATTGTAGTAATTGCAAAAAATGAAAACATCAAGAGCCTTGAGATTAAATGTAGCAAAATATTTAATAACTTATAAACTGCTTTAAGGTTTACAAGTAACTTGCATACGTTTTTCTTATTTAACTCACAAAGCAATCCCATGAGGCAAACCCCTTACTTTGCAGATGAGTTAATGTGTGCTTTCCCGTGTCCCAGTTGCAGGAAATAGCTGACCAGAACCACAACTTTCTGGCTATTTGCAATACCAGTTTTTAAAATGTTTTATTTATATCAACAAAAATAACTTTTAGAAGGGTAGTTTTTTTCTGACACTACTCTAAGTTAAGATGTTTTGTACTTGAAAGAGCTGTCCCTTCCATCCATTGTTCTCGTCTCCATTTTCTGCTCCTCCTTCTCTTCTTTCCCACTACAAGTCTCACTACAGCCGCTGACGCTGATAACTGGGCGCTGTAAACCAACAATGCTTCCAAAGCTGAAGACAGTAAGAGTTTGGTTCCTCGGGCCAGTACTCAGAAATATTAAAAACAGAAAACTCCCTCTTCCCATCAAAAAGGAATGTCACTCTCTATAAATGATAATTCATAACTCATTTTTCTGCTTACCTTTGCCAATGTCACTGACCAAGCTTCTGATATAAAAACCTCCTCCACATTCAACATCTGGAATGTTAACAGTGACATGGTAAATTGCTAACCTCCTATGAAATCTACTTTACATAGAAATGATGCCCCTAAACAAATGTAAAAATGCACTATGCAAACAATTGAGTGATAAAATATTTATGTGCTAAAACATAAATTATTCATCCAGTAGCATATGTGTTTGTGAGATTGAAAAGTCAGTGTGGAAAAAGCAAACAGCAGAAATTCATGAACACATTTTAAATTAACTGACAAGTCACACCACTTCATACCTCAGCCTTGTTCATTTAATAGATTTTAAGTAGTTAGAAATCTTTTGTTACAGATATTAAAAACTATTTTCAGATAGGTACACCTTGTTCACTTATTGGGGTTTAAATGCTTAAAAATCTGAGCCTCGCTACTATGAGCTGTAGGTTTTTTAAATATTTTCAGATTTGTACGGTCAAAAAAAAAACCCTTTTCCAGTAACCAGAATTACATCTGAGGTACTATACTAGAGACAGACAGTACCCAGCATATTGCAATGTTCTTAGAAATATTCCTGGAAAAAAATCATGAAATAAAATTACACAATAGCTACACAATATCCTAGAACTGACTAAACATCAAAACATCTTAACACAGCATTACATAAGTTTACTGGTTGAAAACACAGCCCTGCTTTATTTTTTCATCAACCAGACATTCTGAAAAGAGCCAGCTCCATTTCCACACAGAAGGGCCTCATTCTAGCTGCTTCTAGTCTGATGAAATCCTGTGAAGTCATTTGGGTAAATTAATCAAAACTCGCCACCTGGGGATTTTAATTTTTTTTCATCAGCTCACAGTTGGGGGCCACTGCTGAGATAAAAGAGGAGCACTACGATCAAAAATAGGTATGCTAACATTTTTACATTATATTTGTCTTTGCTAGACAGCTCTTTTGGCCTACTGTACTCTCAAGTCAACAAAATATTTATGACTTAAATGCAGTCAGAGGATTTAAGAGTTTTTCTTTCTTTTGTAGATAAAATCTACTCTCCCAAACCAGCTGTTACACTTTCATGGAGCAAAACATTTTTCAATGTGTTTTTTCATTATCTGTCCTATAGTTCAGAATCAGCAAACTTAAGAAAAGCCATGACTTATTTTTCTAATTATATAAAACCACATTTGAAAGAAATTTAATTCATATTAAACAATATAATACCAATGGAGGAAAATAACAATGACATTTAGGAATAAAGGTACTGGGAAAGTATTTCTAAAAGAAATTCTATTCGCTATGCATTGTAAAATTAAGGGTAGGGTCAATTTTAAGGAGCCTGTAAATTAAGAACAATAGCTTTTGATTCTTTCACAGTTCTAACGTTCAAGCATTCATCTTCAACTTTCTACAGCCAGGAGGAAGAGAAAAAGTTTCAATTTATTTCAAATTTGGATGACATAGTCAAATAGGTAACCTAAACTGAAATGTGATAGTTTGTGCAATGATTTCTGCCTTACTCATTTTCAGGATTTTTAACCCTAACTGAACAAAGAAGAGGAAGAAAAAAAAATCAGTCCATCCTCAGACATTTTTATCAAAAACTAAAAATGCTTCTTAAAAATACCATTTACCTATTCTTCTTCATAGAGAACTAAGATTATTACTTCCAGCTTTATAGTAAGGTGGTATACAACATATGAAAAACTCAGGTTAGTTAGGAAGGTATTTCTAAACCTCCATGTGGCTCTCAGTATCTTAGTAAATGTTATCAAATCATACCTTTTCCTTTTGAAAAAATTTCCAATATGGTAGTGACCCATTAAAATTACATAACATTGGCCAAATACAAAATAAAGTACACATAAATATAGATGATTTCAAATTTCCCCATCTTACCTAATGTGAAAAATGGCGGCTGGAATTTTTGAAGGGAGATACTGTATACAGTAACTGGCCTGGCAGGTTTTGCTTCTACTACTTCACCTCTCTTCATTAAAGTTGAAAGTCTCTGCCCATCTTTCTTTAAGGCAGAATAGCTTGCAAAAGAAAGTAAGGATAGAGAGAGAGAATTAGAAATAATTCCAGATGACAGCATAAAAAGAAAGGGTAACAAGCAGTCCTTTAAATTAAAAGCCTTTATTAAAAAAAAAAAAAAAAAAAAAAAAAACTCACTTCCCCCTACTCCTAATCTACCACACAGTGTTGTTGGTAACACAGTTCCTAAATATCTTCGAGGGTAATGTAAGCCCATTCTGGCACTCCACACTCCACACTCCATAAGTGATGTCAACTTTAACCATCTTCCAAGAGGTAGCTGTTCATATTTTCTCTTCACTAGTCCTCATACCATATTGAGACACTAGGAAGTTAGTAGTAATCTCTGGTCATCATAATCTCAGCCAAATTTCCTTGAAATCACTTCTATTATAATGACTTTATTTTCATATAAAAGTTATCAAAGTGTTTCTAAAACACTAATGAGCAAATAATATTCTTTTTTTTTTTTTTTTTTTTTGGTTTTTTGAGACAGGGTCTTATTAAGAAGGCTGTCTTTCCTTTAGTATGTTTTTGTCAGAGATCAAATAGTTGTGTGTACTCAGTTTTTTCTGGATTCTCAAGTTTGTTCCATTTGTCTTCATGTCTGTTTTTGTGACAGTATGATGCTGGTTTTGCTCATTTGTTTGTTTTGGTTTTGGTTTTGGTTTTTGAGACAGAGTCTCACCATGTAGTTGAGACTGACCTGGAATTCACTATGTAGCCCAGGCTGGTCTCGAACTCACAGTGATCCTCCTGCCTCAGCCTCCCGAACACTGGGATTTACAGGCGTGCGCCACCACGCCCGGCTCCGCAAATAATATTCTTAATAGATCTTAGCTGTGTGCTAAAATTTTATTAGACCACAACATGCTTGCATAGTCACAAAAAAGAAAATCTATAAATGGTCCTCATAAATAAATGTAAATAAATTTAACTTAGATTAACTGTGAACCAAAATAGTGTTTAGTGTTGCTAAAATTTTTAAAGCTTTGCTTTTGAGAAAAATCATGAAGAAACACTTCTTCACAGTAGTTCAATGTTCTTGGAAACACACACACACACACACACACACACACACACACACACCAAGATTGATTGCTTGATTTTTGGTAACAGGGATCAAACTCGGGAAACTGTACTTGCAAGGCAGGCAGCAGCACCACTATGCTAAATGCCTGGCATACCGCGATTTTAAAACACAAAATAAATACTAAATTCTAAGCTTATCCTGACACAACCCATAGCCGCTCCGTTATTTTTAAGAAAGTAATTTGCCGATAGTGGAAATATACATGCTGTTTGTCACCTTCTAAAGTCACACGCTGCACTTCTAAGTACCAAGATGATGGTCTCAGAAGGTAGGGCTTTTTGGAAGGTGCTTAGGTCACATGTTTGTTCCCTTGCCTCTTCCAAGACACGCTGAGACACAGTGAGAAGGGACCATCTATGAGTGCCTGACCAGAAACTGAATCTGCCAGTGTTTTATCTTGGACTTCTCAGCTCCCCAAACTGAGAATTAAAGTTCTGCTGTTTATAAACTACCCAGTTTACTGTATTTTCTTAGTATAGTCCAAATGAACTCATGGGAGTGGAAAATCGATATGCTTATAGTTTTAATAAGTTGTTACTCTCAGCTGTTTCATTCATTATACAGAAAGATTCTGGGTCCTGAGGGAATATGCTTGATACCTGACAGCCCCAGCATAGCAATTTTGGGAAAAGTGCCATCTCTGAACTACCAGACAGCCTCAATGTATGTAGGCAGAATCAGAAAAGCTGAAAAAAAAAAAAAAAAAAAAAAAAAAAA